GGGGTCCGGTGAGGCGGGCCCAGGCCGCGCCTGCCACAGCCTCGGGTCATTAGAGCATCCTCACCCCTGTATGCTGCCGGGAGGGCCCTGGTTGAACCCTGGAGCAGGGGAGCTCCAGCTAATTAGTCATTAATTGCTTCAGAGAGGAAACGAGCAAAACCCAACCTATGCATGCCTGTAGCAGTGACCCATGGGCCCTGGGACCCAGCCAGGCTGCTCAGCATGGAGAAATGGTTGAAGGTTCATCTATCAAAGCAGAACTGGACAATCAGTCCAGCCCAGCAGGTTTCTGTCTCCCTGCAGCCTCCCCAGCCCCTTCGTGCCCCCATGGGACTCCCGGGAACTCCCAGCCTCTGGCAGCAGCCTGGCAAGGCTCTGAGCTGCGCTGCAGTGAGCGGCAAGCCTGGCTCATTTAATCTATTCAATTGGATTCAATTTCCAGCCACATGATTCAATTAGCCCTGGAGGGAAAGCACGGGAGAGCAGAGGCCACGGAGCATGGCCTGGCCTACACTCCAGTAGATGCCGAGCTGGGAGAGGGGAGTGCAGCACGGAGCTGCAGCAGCTGCTCCCGCAGAGACCGGGACCCTACACTTGTCCTGGCCCTCCAAGATGTGGACAACAGGAGCAAGGCAAGCATCCAGGGATGCTCCCCCACGGGTGCTGCCTGTCCCATTTATTTGGAGTCACCTCTGTGCTTTGTCCAGTGACCCCCTGAGCTCACCCACACCATGCTGTGGTGGGGAGAACCAGGGCTCTGACCAGCACAAAGGACGCCCAGCAACCCCCAAGGAAGGCCAGGTCCAACAGCCCTTCTCCAGCCTCCTGGCCCAGGCTTTCATTCATCACTTTTCTGTCTGCCCTCCCTCTCTGTGAAAATGTCAGCAAAGGCATTAATTAGTTTCCACTGCAAGTTCTGGGGGAAAACCCCATCTTATCCTGCCCCTTTGGATGGCTGCAGCTCCCAAAGCTGGGCTTTACCCCTTTCCTGTTATCACAACAGCTCACCTGCCAAAAAATCTCCATCACCTCCATGGGGAGAAGCCTCTGTCCAGCACGACCCTGCTCAGCACAGACAGGATGTGTCCCTTGCTCATCCCAACAAGTACCAAAAAAGAAAAGAGAGCCCAGAAAAGAGACAAGAATAAATAGCCATGAGGCATCGGTGCTGACACAGAGGTGGAGAGCTGCTTGTGAGTGCCAAGAGCCAGCTGTAAATCTTACCGCAGACCGCTGGCCGCACACCAGCCCCGACACACACGACAGCAGCCGTGACTCGGCAGGGTAACGGCATCTCTCTCTGCTCGCTGTGCTGGGAACGATACCAGCTCCACCGCGGGAGAGAAGCGTGGGGAGGCAGACAGAGCCCACTGGGGCTGATGCCCTGTGCAAGTGCTGTCTAGGAGCTAGCTCTGCCCAGGACAACAGGCTTCTCCTTCCAACATCCACCATGCAAGAGCCTGGCAGGAGCCCAGAACGGGAAGAACACGCAATTCTTCAGGCAGGGAGAGAAAAGAGCCCCAATGGGCATCAGGACACGCTGATGTGGAGGGCAGCTCAATCCTACAGAGATATGACCCCCGTGCCACACGGGTGGGATCACAGCAGGTAACGGCCATGACAAGGAAGAGGACGAAGAGGCTTGCAAACCAAACAGAGCAGGTGGGCAAAGGTGCACCTTGCTCTCTGGCTGCTGTACGTGAGACTTGAGGGTCTGGTACTACCTGCTCCTGGCACCCCCAAGAAGCAGCCAAAGGATCGCACGCAGCTGACTCCCCCCACCAGCCTCCCATCGGTGCACGGTGCCTCCTCCGACAACCAACAGCCCAGGCAGGGGAGACTCAGCTCTTGAGGAGCTGCCTCTCTCCCATGAAAAATGGGACCTGTAAGAGCTAGGGAAGAAGAGATGATACCAAAAATCACAGTGGCACTTACAAATCAATTTTTAATAACTCCCTCCAAAATTTAGCTCAAACTCAATTTTTCTCCTCCAGAATTTGGTCATTATTTTGTAAATTATTTGTCTCCCTGCAGCGGCTGCCTAATTTAAAGGCAGCAATCTGATTTCTCCCCATGCCTCAAAATCAGCTCTTCCAATAATAGACTGTGTTATGAATTAGATAAAATACACTCAACTGCTCAGATCAGATATGGGAAAGTTTGGGGCCATCAGCCGTGTCCCGAGGCTGAACGTTAGAGTTAAATGACTTTCTGCTCAGTTGAAGCTGGCCTCAAAACACAAGTAGTAGTACAGTGTTTAACAAAACAGGCAAATCTGCAGCAGAATCTGTGAGCAGGAGTTTGCTGACACCAGCAGCAAGAGAGAGCATCGTACCGTGCACAGGCAGATCTCTGCATCCCTTGCTCACATCCACAAGCTCTCATCCTTGCTCGTGTTTTCCTCACTGGCAGCCCCAGGGGCACGTAAGAGGCAGAGGGCTGCTCACTACCGGCTGGTACCTGCAGCCTGGACCAAGGAGGAGGCACGGCTGAGCAGCACCACGACCTCCCTCTGCACAGGCCGGAAGAGCCCAAGGGCAAGCGCCTGCCCTGCCACAGCCGGCATGCCACCAAAGAGCGACAGGGCCACCCCCGTAACTACCCCACTCTCCCCTCTGCAAAGGACAAACACCGCACACTCTGGACAGGCAGGGCTCTGCTATTTATTGAGCTCTAGGTTTGTATGTACATCCATTTGCAGTGCTTGGTTCGGTGACAGCGTGACAAGAGGACGTGTGTCACAGTCTTGCCCAGCTCAGCCTTGGATGAGGGCTGACCTCAGGAGCTGCTTCCAGTCACAGCCTGGGCTTCTCAGTTCATCCCGGCACGGGAGCACCATGGGGGAGATGAGACCTTTGACAGCTGAGCGCAGAGGGAAAAGCTGAAAATCCCAGAGGTTGCCGAGGCAGAGGCAGACTCACCCCCAACTCTCTCGCCTATCTGTCTGGTCTCGGCCAAAGCGGGATCAGAGAAAAGGAGGCACACAGACAGCTGGGTGACTCAATGCTCCTGCTGCAGCAATGCTGGGGCTGCACCTCAAGGAAGCAACTCAAGCCCCCTTTAGAAGAAACTCCTCCCCTTAGAGGCAAGACGGTGTGGCAAGAGCTCCCCATGCATACAGACCACAGTGCCCTTCGATGCCTTTTTACTCATTTGCCACGGGAGAAGCTGCCTTCTCCTACATGTGCCGGCCTGCTCTCAAGCAGAGTGATTTTATGGAGCCTCCTCCTTCTCCCAAGCACCATCCTTCTGACATGTATACATTTCCACACACTTTCATGGCAGAAAAGCAAGTAAGTGTCTGGCTTAGCTGATAAAAGTCAGACAATTCCGTGCTGACAATTCTCTGTTGGGAGAAGCTGGTGCTCCCAAGGGAAATATACAGTCTTCATCGGGTGCTGTGACCAGTGGGTGGCCAAGGACACAGCTGTCAGTTTCCCGTGCTCATGGCAGGTAAAAATGAAACACTAATGCAATTAACACACGTTAGCATGAATAAGCCTTGCCTAAAAATGGTAGTAAATGAGCATGACATTCACATCATTCACACTAACCTATGAGGCTAAGAGCGGGACTAGGCACTTTATTTTTCAAAAAAACCTGTTTTCTAGGGAAAAAAAAAAGTGGATCTGGGATGTAAATAACTTCTCTGCTTCAGTTCACCAAGTCAGGACAGATCCTAACATCACTGCTGGGAGCTGAAAATGCACGAGCAGGGAGCAGGTGTTTATGCTGCATATTCCTGAGTTGGCAGCCCGACACAGCACTCGGAACAGGCTCTGCTGGACCTGGGCACCTTTGAAACACTGGTTCTGGAGCAGAAAGGTCTGCCTGTGCCCCAGAGCATCATCCCAGAGCTCTTCCTTAGGAAGTTCTCAGCAGACTGTTGCTGCAAGTCGCTTGGTGAAGACAGGAGGGCAAGCTAGAAAGTGAAGTAATTACTTCTCCAGCTGCATTTTAACTGCGTGCTACACACAAGGGGAAAACTGGGGACTTCTCAGCTCATGAAGATCACCAGGCACTTGCAAACATGTGCAAGGCAGATGTTCTTGTGAGGAAGAGTAGGATTGTCGCAGTGCAGTCTCTGATGGGCAATAAGGGGAATGGGGGGGGAGGGAGTCAGCCTGTCCTCTGCCCCATGGAATATCTAAAAATGTCCCTCAACCTTAGAAACAGCAGAGATGTGCTGGGCTACTGGAAGCAACAGTGACCCCGAGAAGAGCTGGTCTCCAGTTAAAAGTGCTCTCTTTGATGACCCATATTCTTGCAGACTGGCTCAGACTGGACCCTGTAAGTCAACAGCCTTGGAGGCAAGATTTCTCCTTCTCCAGCAACCTGATGGCTTGGTTCAAGTGACACCTTCTGACATCAGGAGCCAGCAGCGAGCAGGGTCTGCACCTTGGGGAAACTGGTTTATACCCCAAAGTCATTCCCAATGGGATGGCAGTGGATTTGACCTACATTGTGGGCAGGTGGGTTAATCCAGGCTGACAGAAAAGAACAGCCCTCACCCGTAGAGCAGGCGAGCGATGTCAACCCAGAACTGTCTCACACAGCTGGACTGGTTTTATTATTTTGGTTGTGAGCTCTCCCCAGCTCTGCTACAAAGGTTCCCAGTGCATCTTCCCTGAGGCTGCGGAGGGAATCTCCCATTGCTATGTCACAGGAACGGCTGCCCACCCCCATGGCACCTTACAAAATTGCTTCATCCTCCTCCTCCTCCTCAACATGCCGATTGCCCCAGTCCTGTTGAAACACATGCCTTCGGGATCAAACACACAGCAGCAAGGCTCTCCCCTAGAAGAAATGCAGTCCCTTCTGCAGGCGGAAGGCAAGGGGCGACCGGCTGCAGATCTGTAGTGTCCCTGCTCAGACAGGCCCGTCTGGTCAGCCCTGCGCAGTGGCTGCATCCCTGCTTCAAGAGATCGTGGAGAATTCCTTCAGCAGCAGTTCCTGGCTCAGCGTGTTGAAAGCAAGGTTCTTCCTCACATTGATGCTGATGGACCGAACCTGATAGAGACAAACAAGATGTTTTAGCCTTCCTGACTCCCCATGAGCATGGTAGCTTTGACACTGCTGACCTCCAAGTCCGGCATGAAACCATTTTGCATGCTGTTATAGCCCCAGAGAACTTGCTGCAGCCGGCTCTCACTGAGACTCCGGCTTAGCAAGAAATCCCTGAGGGGTAGCTGCTTCCTGTCTATAGTGACATCCCAGCACGGAGAGTAAATTCCGAACAAGACAGGGATGGGAGAGGATACTCTGTTCGGATGCATGAGCTATGATGTGTTTCCTGTTCTGGGGCAGAGTGATGGGGAAAGTGAGCACTTCCAGGTTGCAGCTGGAAGAGCATTTTCTACCAGTGCCCACTAGAGCGCCAGCCAGCATTCTGCTCGATGAACATAGTGTCATGGCCTCTGTCCTCCTCCAGAACCTGCAGAGCCAAAGAAATGGAGTCAAGGAGAGGACAGAGGCCATGTTACTGTGCTGTAAACACAAATTATCACCCAAGCTGGCAGAAAACCATGGGTTCAGAGCCAGCTGCGTGTATTCTGTGCTGAGCGCCTTACACCTGAAGTTGGCTCACTAGCTGTCTCTGCAGAAGAGACACCTTTATCCCTTAATGATGCCTGGACTTCTGGTTACCTGCAGAATCTGCGAGGAAGAGCTGGACAGCCCTGTTGCACAGCAGCTTCCCTTCCCCCTTCATGCCTGCAGACTCGTTGGCCGAACACAGAGGCCCCAGACTGGGCTCAGCCTCAGCTGCACTCGGCAACGAGAAAACAAAGTCAAACATCATCTGTGTCAGCGACTGTGCAGCAGTGATAGAAAGCAAAACTGACACAAGCTCATCCAAACAAGGGGATTACAGTTCCCAGAGACTCAGAGCCTGTGATAATAAGGTTGTCGCTGACCTGGTTAGTGTTTTGTGCTTTTTAAAAGCACTGGGGGATGAATTATATAGACGTAGAATGAGGAATCCAACACTGAGGGCTGGAAGAGCAAGTTAACAGTGTTTATGCTGCTGAGGGTCCCACTTGCTGCCCTGGTGAGAAAAAAAAGAGAGGAAGGGCAGAAAGCTCCCAGAAAGGTAGAATACGTAAGAGCGGGAAACAAATCAAAACATGGAAGGTTAACAGGGCAAGCTGTAAAGTGAACCCCAGAGAGACCCTCTGCGCGGACCCTAACAAGCTAAGAAAGCTAGCAAAGATGTCTCCCCCTAAAGACAGAATATTTAGGTTTTATGGTGTCTGCAGAAACCACAAACTCTCCTTCATCAGGATGCTTGGCAGAGACCCCATGTGTCTTCACTACCTTGGAGCACTCCCTCACCTCTCTTCTCTGAGTGTCTTTTGACTTACTCCATACTGAAATAGTTTGCGATCATGTCTTGTAAGATAACCACAGGTTATAGTCTACGTTAAACGCTGCTGCAAGTGGTCTCCAGAACGCTGGTTTGCACTGCGCTGTCTCCCTGCCAGGAGACAGGAGCCCCACTGACAGGATTTGGTCCCAGTCCTACCAAGCGCTCCCCACCTCAGCGATCCAGTCAGTTCTGACAGGAGGGGAACAACATGGCTAAACAGAGGCAGAGAGTCCTCTGCCCTGGGGAACACGATTGCCTGTAGAAAAGGGGCAGATGCTACATGTAGTGTAAGCCAGCATCCTTATACTGACTAGAAGTATTTCTATAGGTCCC